TAAAATAATAGAAAAATAATGGTCCAACATAGGAAAAGTAGTACTACTTGTAAGACTCATTCTAACAGCTAACTTAATAGTACTGCACTACTACTGCATTCACAATGAAGTACTTCACCAGAATGAAGTTCTAAAACGTAGTACAATATTGTTGTACTTGTACAAGCAAAAATTGGTATTCAAAAACAACTTACAGAGAGGAGATACATACATACAAGTAAGTATCTCAAACACACACCAAAGAAGATGAATGTAACCACTAACCAAGATAGACAGAGTATTGAAAACATCATTGAGTGCAGCGTTGATGAATCGTTGGTGAATTCACCAGCGCTACACTCAATTATGTTTTCAGTTCATTTGGGTGCACATTAAGATCACAGAGACGGCTGATCGACAGTATGCATTAACAGGTTTGTTACTTGAATCACCTCTCATCTTTAGCTTATCTGAGTGAATCAATGTGACTGATCGCTGCAAAATCCTGCCATTTAACATATTATGTACTAAACAACAGCGAGCACACCGAAGGTTGGGTGGGTCTTTGATGCCCACACATCACCTGGGTGCAGGGTGATGATAGGGAGTGTGTGCAGGGCAAGGGAGAGCCAAAATGTTGGTTCGGGACTTACCTCCAAATTAGAAAATTAGAGCCTAGAGACTAGAGAGTGAGTAACCCCTTATTTGTGGGCTTATATCCACCAATGATTGAGGATACCTGTGCTCCATGGGCTTTGTTCTGTATGGCTAGAGTCAAATTGGGTTGGATATGGCTGAAGGCTAATTTAAATGTGTCTAAACCATTTAAATATGGAAAACCCTTTCTCTACGGGTTTGTTTGATAAAAGGCAAATAGCTGTTTTTCTATGGAAAAACAACATTTTCCACCTTTGACCGACATTTGCCTTTTGTTTGATAACACAAATCCATCATGATAAGCTTTTCCATACCTTGAAGGGGAAAATAGTTCCTTGGGGAGGGGTAGGAAAATGTTTCCACCCCTCTTTGTCCACCTCTTTTCCATGTCTGACTATTTACCATGGAACCATTCACCCATTGACTTTCTTTTCCATGGAAAATATTCACCCTTTATCAAACATACCCTACTTATTCAAAACCTAGTGCGATTTTGTGGACATACACAAAATGTGTGTCCACGAGACAGCGG